CGGGAGGGGCGCGGGCCGGCGGGCGGGGAGCGTGCCCAGCGTCCGAGCCGAGGGCCGGGCCCTGAACGCCGCGCGGGCCGTGCGCTTTCGCCGCGCACCATGGCGGAGACCAAGATCATCTACCACATGGACGAGGAGGAGACGCCGTACCTGGTCAAGCTACCCGTGGCCCCGGAGCGCGTCACGCTGGCCGATTTCAAGAACGTGCTCAGCAACCGGCCCGTGCACGCCTACAAATTCTTCTTCAAGTCCATGGACCAGGACTTCGGGTCAGTGGCAGCGCAGCAGCCAGGTGACATCTGTCACCTGGGGAGGGAGGGTCCGCGGGGGCCAGGCGCCCCGGCCCGTGTCGCACCCGCTCTAGACCGGAACCCTGACTGCCACCTGTCAGCAGGCAGCGGTGGCCGAGGGGCAGGCGAGGTCCTGGCTGCCCAGAGCCGTCCCTGGGCGCTGAGGCCACCCTGAGCCCCAGGTTTCACCTTGGCCTATCTGGGCCAGGGCCTGCTGTATTCTTTTCTTGGGGATGGAAGTTCTGGGGCTCAGGGCAGCCTGGGTCAGGGACGTGGTCATGGGATGGACAGGTCCCAGCACCCACTAGGTTCCTAGGTAGGACTGCACATGGGGGTGGCACAGGGACTGCAGTCTGAGAAGTTTTTGGAGTCTCAGGGAGACTGTCCCTGTCGCCTTCCCACAGGGTTCTCATGTCAGGGCAGAGGTAAGAGTCACAGGGATCCTGGAGTGTCCCTCCACCTCCTGCCCTGAGGCTCCTGGCCACCTGCTGACTAGGGTCAGCCTCTAGGCCACTGTGCTGACTGTCCTGGGAGAAGAGACATCCCACTTGTGCTGAGGGACAGGGAACAGGTACTTGGCCATCCACTAGAGGTCTGATGGGTCACAGCCACCAGTAATCCGAGTCCCCAGCTCTGCAATGTGCTGAGCAGGTGTGCCTGGTGCCCTCAAGTAAGTGGCGTCCTTGTGTGTGGCCCTGTCTTGGGGCTTTGACATTGACCTCCCATTTCCTGGATTCCATAATTCCCAGTCCTGGGTAGCCTAAGTCCAGTCAAGGGTGGGCCACTCTGGGATTGGGACCCAAGGTCAGGTGGGCAGCCCTGGCCCAAGAAGCAGGAGGAGAGGGCACATCCTGGGCAGGTATTCCTCAGGGCTGGGTGCTCCTGCTGGTGAGCTCAGCCTGAGGCTGGCTCTGGGATCTGCTTTGCCTGCCTTCCTGCTGGGCCTCACATGGTGCCTTCATTTTTCTGGGCCTTGTGTTCCTGGCCTTGCACAGGGCTGTATGGAAGACCACCTGGATTCTTAGTGGACTATTTTGACAGGAACAACCGAATCACAAATGCTCTTCACAGATTCTCGGCCTGAAGGCACGTGTGGCGAGAAGCATGCCTGTGCCGTGCTCTGGGCCGTGTCTTGGAGGGGCCCTGCCCTCTGCTCATGACATCTGTCTGGGGGCTGTCTACCCAGTAGAGCTGCTGCTGAGCACACCTGGGGACTGTCGCACTCTGGCAGCGGAAGGGTGGGCACTCAGGGCTGTGACCCGGGAGATGGTCTTTGGGGGCTTAGGGTAGGCTTGGGAATGGTCTGGTTCAGTGTGGGAGCCAACAGAGGGCTTGAGCACGGGCTGGGACCCCTCGGGAGAGCCAGGAGGTAGAGGGCAGCCGAGGCGAGCAGCAGGATGGGGCCTCCCTGGCTTGGGCCTCTCGCTAATGGGCCGATGGCTTCATGGCCTCAGGAGCTGGGAAAGGACCATCATCTGCTTTCCTCTGCCCTTCCATTAAGTTCTTTCTGTAGACTCTAAGCTTTGTCTAGTCCATAAATGCTTCATTTAGTGGAATATGTAAGTTCTGATGAGAGGGGCAGGTCTCTCTCTCTCTCTCTCTCTCTCTCTCTCTCTCTCTCTCTCTCTTTTTCTGTCTCATATTTTTTGAAATGGGGTCTCACTGTGCAGTTCAGTCTGGCCTTGAGCTTACTTTGAAGCCCAGGCTGGTATTGAACTACAGGTATCCTCCTGCCTCAGACGCCAGAGTGCTGGGATTACAGGTGTGTGCCACTACCCTGGGCCCCAAGTGAGAATGGTCAGTCATTCTCACTTTAGTGTAAAAGAGATCTTGCTCTGGATACCAAGTGAATATAGAGGGACACTGTGGGAAGGAAAGGCAGGTCCTGGCTGAGGAGGGATAGCGCCCTAGGGTGGCCTCTGACGAGACTGTGAGACTTGCCCTCATGAGTCTTAGCACCCTGTCTTCACCCCCAGACAGTGTGGGCCAGCTCTGGGCTCTCCAGCTTCTGCTGCCTTGCCTAACCAACAGCAGGTTGGACTCTGCTCCACCTTTACGAAGGCTTTCCTCTAGTTTCCCTCTTTTCTTTGTGGTCTTGGGCATTGGACCCAGGGCCTTCACACTGAGCTACATCCTCAGCCATTTTCTTTCTTTCTTTCTTTCTTTCTTTCTTTCTTTCTTTCTTTCTTTCTTTCTTTCTTTCTTTTTTTTTCAGAACCAGGGATTGAACTCAGGCCCTTGAGCTTGCCAGGCAAACACTTAGTCTACTGAGCTAACTCCCTGCCCCCCCCTTTTTTTTCTTTTCTTTTTTTTCTTTTGCAGAACTGGGGATTGAACTCAGGCTCTTGCGCTTGCTAGAGAAGTGTTTATTCCACTGAGCCATCTCCCCAACCCCCTCAGCCTTTTTCTTATTTTTATTTTGAAACAGGGTTTTGCTAAATTGCCCAAGCTGGGTTTGAGCTTGTGATCTTCCTGCCTTGACCTCCCTGAGGGCTGAGATTCTAGGTGTGTACCACGGTGTCTGGCTCTGTACACCAGTTTTTATGAGCAGACGATGATTGCTCTGAGCAGGACCTCTAGGGCCTGGGAGCAGTGTTGGGGCCTCTGGCATGGGGTCTGGTGATGATCAGTGTGGGATGGGGTCTGAGGCAGAAGGAAAGTTTTGGCCTTCAGTCCCCACTGGCAGGAGATATTGCCAGTGCAGGCCGGTGGGCTTGGAGTTCAGTTGGCCCACTCATCTCCATGCAGGAGACCCAGCCTTAGGGACTGTGTAGTTGGACACAGGTCACTGGGAGTCCTGGACTCTGGCCGCCTACCAGTGGGCACAGGTGTTCTGTCAGCCCCATGTGCCCAGGAGACTGCATGGGGGCTGCTGCCTGTGGCCTCTGATAGTCTCTGTGACCCCACTTCCCCAGGCTGGCAGGCCCAGTGGATGCAGTACGTAACCTGAATTGGGAGGGGGTGTAGAATGATCCAAGGGCTCTATGCTACCTGCTGTGCGGGCACTGGGTCTGGAGCTGGGCAGTTGGTGCCTCAGGCTGAGGCCCACCATACCCCAAGGCTTGGTGCAGCTGGGATCCTGACTCATGGGGGTACTTGGGGATGGGCAGGGGGACCCTGGGGGCCTTTGATTGATGTGACCTCTGTAGCCCAGAGTCCTTTTTTTGTGGTGTGTGTGTGTGGGGTGGAACTGGGGATTGAACTTAGGCCCTTGCGCTTGCCAGGGAAGCACTTATTCCACTGAGCCATCTCCCCGGCCCCCAGGGTCCTTCTTGGCCAGGTTCTGTTGTGCTCAGAGGACCCTGCCTTGGTGTGGATTCCTTTGTGGGAGGTAGAGTCTGGTGGCCGCAAGTTCGAAATTAACCAGGATCACTAGGAATTCTGAGGTAGAGTCCCTGGCTGGTCATCCTGACTCCGTGGAGCTGCTCCTGAGCCTGTCCCTCCACCCAGGAGGCCATGTACAGGAGCCTAGCGCTGTCCAGTCTCCGTTCTGGACCTCCTGAAAGATCGTGCTGTCAATTATGGGCTGCGTTGCCCATGCCAGCGCCCACACCTGCCCTCCACTGGGGGCTCTGGCACCCCCACCCTGCCTGGCTGGGGCTGTGAGGATCTGTCACTTGTCACTCCCTCAGTCCTGGCTGTGGGGCCTCCTCATGGACCTAAGGGCTTATACCTAGGGGCAGCGCTTGAGTCCTGCCTACTGGGCTGGACCAGGGGAGCAAGGCCTTTGGGCCCTGGGAACAGTGCCCAAGTAGTACTGTTGGGAGGCACAGGGACCTCCATAGCTCTGGTCATCTTGAGGCCCTGGCTGTGTGGGCAGTGGATCTTGAGGGCAGGCAGGGCCTTAGGGAGACAGTGGGTGCTGGACTCCCATCTGTCTCTTAGGGTGATTCAGGCAGGGCTGCAGCTGGGTGTGTCAAGGGGCAGGGTGCCGGCTGGCCACTGGGGCTGTCATGGAGCAGCCCTGGGGCCTGCCCTGGGGTATCTGCTGTGGTCATGTAATTGCTGTGAATCTCAGAGATGGAGAACTCCCTGCCACCTATGGTGCACTGGCTGCTGCAGGCTCCGCTTCCAATCCCAGGAAGCGCAGGCCTGGCACGGCCTGTGGGGAAGCTGGACTGGCTGTACAGGGCTGTGGGTCATGGGTGAAGGCAGAGGCTTGAGGGGTTCTCAGAAGTACCTGTCTACCTGTTAGGGCATCTGCCTCATTGGACAGGACCCCGAGGGCATCTAGAGCAGTGGCAGAGCCTTAGAGGGCTGGGTGGGATGCATTCACTCTCGCGGGCTGGCCCTGTGTCTGCTGCTGCTCTGCCCTAGGCCTGGGGCTTCCTGGTGAGGTCTGCAGTGGGGCCTCACTCTCTGGGTGAAATGGACCCCTGTCGCAGTGGGGCCGGCTGCTGCCACCCTGAACAAGGCGAGTCAAGGTGTCCTGGAGCTGGTGGCCAGCTCTGGCATTGGGCCATCAGTCCATGAGGCTGCTTCCTGCCAGGTGCATGTCCAGGCCCAGCCCAGTCTCCCAGCTCCTGTTTCTCATCTGGCCCAAGTCCCAGACGTGGAAAATCCCGCTGTGCTTGGCAGGGCCTAGCGCCAGTGGGTGGGGTGTCCAGGCCCTGGCTCCCACCTACCACCTCCTAAGCTGTGCTGGTTGCTACCCTTGCCCCTTTGAACCCTGACCCCAGGGCATCTGGCCTCCTTCCCAGTTTATTCTTTTCGCTGATCCTTGGCATCTTACTTGGGTGTACTATGCCCTTGCCCTCGGGGCAGCAAATGGGCAGGATGCTGGCCAGTGGGTGCAGCCAGGACTGGGCTGGCTCTGACTCCAGCTGCCTGGTCCTCAGGTGCCAGAGCCTGTGGCTACTTGAGAGTTGGGGCTAGTTGAGGGTATACGTGAATGAGTAGGCACATAGGAAAGTGCAGGGCTGCCAGACATGGGGGGACAAATCACGAGGGTCAGGGTTGTGGGTGCTCACAGAAACAGGATGGATATGTGTGAAGCAGGGACTCAAGCAGCATGAGGAGCATCAGACCTGTCCCTCCAAGAAGCAGCTGCAGTCCTGCAGGCTGTCAAGAAGCAGGAGGGCTGCTCTGGAAATGGCAGGAAGGTGGAGCCCAGGGTGTGGGCATGGATTTGCAGTGAAGGG